GGTTACCTAGAGCACTGACAGATCCAGTGACTTGTCCAGGGTCACACTGCTAGAATGTCAGAGGCCGACCTTGGGCCCAGGGCCTCCTGGCTTTGAAGACTGTTCTCCATGCTCTACGCCAGGCTGCCTTTAATTAAAAGAAAAAAAAAGCCTCAAATAAATCTCAATGGAGATTTTTATTAAAAATATCTTTCTAAAAAAAGGCTATTGAAGCATTTTTTTAAAATGCACAGGAGAAAAGAGAATGAAGTTCAGACAGCTTTGAAAGCAACATTGGAGTTTTAATTTCTTTACAGCCACGTTATTGAGACTCACTGTCCCGCACTTAATCCTCTTTCTCAGCTCTGCTTTCCGACTGTGGCTCCTCCAAAGCTTTCCACCTGGCCTCCGACATTCACAGTCACCAAGAGTGGCTGCTCCCAGCTTCCTTTAAGTCTCCGCTAAGACCCCACTTTTTACAGGAAGCCTGTCCAGGTCCTCCTCAATCTTCTCGGCTTCTTCCCACCGAGATTCTCTCCAAGGATCCTGTCATACCTACTCTGCACATAACTGCTAGCATGTTTTCTCTCCCCATTAGACTGGGAGCTCTTTGAGACCCAGCAGGACCGTTTGCCTTTCTTTGTGTCCCCAGTGCTTAGCACAGTGCCTGGCACACAGCAGGCACTTAATAAATACTTCCAGATTTGGAAATGCTTTGGGGTTGGAGGTGTGTGTGTGGGGGAAAGATAGTTATTAAAATCAGAATTTAAAAATTTTTAAAAAATCTTTCTAAAATCAACACTACAAAAAATTCTGAATAGATTTAGAACAGGCTGGGTCGGCTCCCTGGACAATGCCCACGGGATGACTGTGCTACACCATTAAAAGAAAGGCTTCTGGGGGGTTTATGGAATGCTAATTTTCTCAAGCTTTAAATTTGTATCAGACCATTATTTAGGAATTCAACTCCTCTTTCTTCTATCTCCATGCTACTGTCCTGGCAACCTGCTTTAATTTCTCAGGACAAGAAACCTTCTGGCCAGTACACATGCTGCTCCAGAGAAGAAGCATCCTCTGTCGCCAACCGAGGCTGGGAATCGGGACAAGATGACGCACAATGGGGTTTTACCCCAGTGGGGAAACATTTCAGGCTCTGCCGGCAGCTGCTGGGCCAAGCCTTCTTCCTCCCTAAAACGGGGTTCACAGAAGTGACTTCTCTACCAAATCCTCAGCCCCCAAAGTCTTCCATGCACACACAAAACAATAAGAATGATTACCGGCACCACCAGCACCACCGGAATATTTCTGTGCACGTGATTTCCTGACTATTACCTAATTCTGATACAGAGAAACAAGTAACGATAATACCTTCACTTAAGAAAATACACAGGAGTGTATGACCTTTTATTGAATTGCTTACTGTCTCAGGCAGGGGGAGGTGAAGGAGGGAGAAAATGGGAAACTCAAAACAAATGTTTTTCTTATTTTTATTTATTATTTTATTTTTCCCCAGTTAAACATGTAAAAACAATTTTAAACATTCATTTTTAAAACTTGCTCAAAATTTTTTTAAATGAATGTTAAGAACTGTTTTTACATGTAATTAGGAAAAATAAAATATTATTTAAAAAAAGAAAACACATGTGAAGCACTTTGCAAACCTCACAGCTATATATGTATACATCTATGTACACCCCCCCCCCATTATTATTATACTGGCCATTCCGAACAGCTATGGACTTTGGACGGTTGTCAGAAAGGCAGCCAGATGGCACAATAAGTGGATTGGAATCAGGAAGACTTGAGTTCAAATCCTGCTTCACACACTTCCTAGCTGTGTGACCCTAGGCACATCATCTTGCCTCTGCCTACCTCAGTTTCTTATCTATAAAATGGAGGTGACTGTCAGAGCACCTCCCTGCTGTGAGGACCCAATGAGACAGGAAGAGGGTTTTGCAAACCTTAAAGGGCCCTCTTAACGCCAGCTACAAAGCTCATGCATTTTACTTTTCTAGGCCACGGGATGACCTGGTATAAAGTATGGATCAGAACAAGTCTACACAGCCCGGCAACTAGTGATGGCCAACAGAAGGAAGGGGCAGAGGTGATACGAGTCTAGGGGCATGGAAATCGGGGGCTAGTGGTACAAGCCCCCTTATCGACACCTACAAGGCAGGCACACAAACACTGCCTGTCATGGTGGTCCAATGTCCCCGAGAAAAGCCTTTAGAACACTTGGTACACTGAGACGGAAGTGCTCAGTCACTCAGGAAGAGCAGCCATGATAAGACCAGAATATAAAAGGAGTGGCTACAACAAGGGCCACGCATGAGTCATCTGGAAAATCCCCTTCTGTGGCACACGTGGCTCTTGGGAGTCAACGAAGGGTCATCTCTACTTGGCGGGCTGGGAGGCAGACACAGAGGGCTGCCCTAAGTGGCTTCAAAATTATGGAACCAAGAGAATCCCAAACCAGGATAGAGAAAAAAATGTGATTTTCCAAAACGATTTTCAATCCATTTTTACAGAAATTAAGGTTTTGCTGTTCTAAGAGGAAAAACCCCCTAGATGCTAGGCCCAGCTCACTTGTGCAGTGGTAGCCTCAGATAAGCTGATCAAAGCCACGAACTGGGAGAGAGCTGAAGGCTGTGAGTCGTCAGATGTGTGAGCCGTCTGCACACTTTGGTCCACTTGCCCATCTTACATTACATACAAGCCCCTACCAGCTTCATGACAGCCCTTCTCCCGCCCCAGTCCAGCCTGGAAGCCCCCAACGAAGAGGGGGCAGAAGCAGAAGCAACATTTTATGCCAATGTGGGAGACTGGCACCAAACCCACCCCCAGGAGCACCAGTGACAAAGGACACTATAGGGCGTGAGAGGAAGGCCCCTTGAGGGAGGGGTTAGAGGAAGACAAGGACAACAGAATGAGAAGGGAAAGGCTGCAGTCTAGCCCGAGAGATCATCTAACCTGCCCCCTCACTTTACAAATGAGGAAACTGAGGCTTAGAGACAGGGGTCACACAGTCACCAAATGAGGCCCTGCCTCTGGGCTGAGCCTCCCCTATGGCTGTACATCACCTACAAGGGGCTGGCGAGACCCTGCGAGATAGGACGCCCGGGCTACGTTCCACACTCTGCAGCAGATGAGGACAAAGACAGCTAAGAAACATCCATAAAGAGCGGCCCGGCTTCACCACACACAGGCCAGGCTGGCTGGACTAAGTGGTAGCGATGGAGATGAAGGGCAAAGGACAAAGCTGAGATCCCAGAAGTCAGAACGGAAAGAACTTGGTGACGAGCCCAATGAGGATGAAGGCAAGGGGCGAACAAAGACGATGCCCCACCCTCCTGCCAACTCTTAGGAAGAGTGTGTTTCATTCAGGAAACATGAGAGGGAGGTGGGGGTCGGGACGTCCAAGAGAGACGCCCTACCACCAGACTGATGGATTCAAACAAATGCACCCTGACCCTCGGGCTCTGGGGCTCTCACTCACACAAACTGGGTGCCCTTGAATCTGAGTGTCCCTGTTTGCAGAATTAGGGTGCCAGACTGGATGACCTCTAAGAGTCCTTGATGCCAGAGAGTCACGTACTGCTGCACTCTGGCCAGCCAAACCCCCATCCCGCCCCAGGTACTGTGCCCCACCTCACCCTGCTCTTCTCCCCTCCCACACACAAAGGTGGATGTTTCTCCGGGGCATCTCCCCAAAGCCTTTGCTGTGAGACATCAGTATGTAGTAGAAAGACCCTGGCTCCAGGCAGGGTCCTTGGGCTTTTCCTAGCGACGACACTGATGCACTGGGTGACCCTGGTCAAGGCACTTAAACTCCCCTACCCTCAGTTTCTTCATCTGAACAATGCAGATAATAATAGCTCTGCCTGCCACGCAGGGCTAACATGTGGACCGAATGAGCTAATGTGTATAAAGTGCTTTGTAAACTGAAAAGCCATAACCCAATCAGATATAACCATCAGCTCATGTTTCCACCATTCACTAACTTAATCAGCTAGCTATGTGGCTATCAGGGGCTTTCTCCTCCCTCTACCCCACCCCCAAACTGCTATAATCCTCCAAAAGGTGGAACAGGGAGAATTGGGTGGCGATTGTACTGTTCTGCTTACTTTGAGGGAGAATGAAAGAAACAAGTGATTCTCTTGCAGGAAAACTGTTTTGGGCTTGTGGTGGGCCAAGGAGTAGGAACAATTCGTTAGCTTCCTGCCCAGTTCCTGATGCCCAGGTCTGGACCCTGTCTGACTGTCCACTGTCCCTCCGTTCATCTTAGCTGTGTCTGCCCCAAGGCAAGCCTGGCTCCTAGGACGCTAAGGCAGCAGGACTTGTCAATCAGGCATCCTTGGAGTACTCCCTGCTGGAGAAGGCAAGAGCATGGTGCAGTCCCTCCCAATCCCTATCTGACCAAAAGGTCTTCAAAGTCCTCCATTCCCATCTGAGCTAACTCCAGAAAATCCTACATAGAAGTCATACTATTTACGTCAACCACTTAGTGTTTCTGCCTAACTGCTTTAAAGCACGTTAATGGTAATCTACCATTAAATATCACACGAATTTATGTTGTAAATTTTATGATTACATCAAAAATTCTGTGTAACTATGTCCCGCTTTCATCATTTGTTAGCCACACACCATATTCACTGATGAACAATTTTTAAAAACTGAAGGAAATACTGTCAATGAGGGAGCAAAAAAATCACACCAAAAGCTGATTCAAATAGATAAGCTCATTGCAAAAAGTAATGATAATTAAAAACTGGAAGAGGGTTTTTTGTTTTAGTCTAAAGGTTTTAAAAGGAGGAAATTCCCTTTCCTTTCTAAACATTCTCCCGCACTGCACGTTCTCCTCTGATGCCTGCTATGGCCTGGCAGGGACCTTGGATTCTCCAGCTCTAGAGGCCTATGGGAAGCTGGAAGGGTCTCATATACACACAAAGAGGTGATTGGAGGAGGGAGGGTCCCACCAATAACCCCCACGCATGGATCTACAAATTATCCAAAAACATTACCTGGGGTGACTGTTAGCTGAAAGTAGTGAAGCTTGTTTGGATCAGGAAAATTCACTTTACATGTACCTACAAAAGAAAACAATCATGAGGAAAGTGTAACAGCCAGAGACAAGACACCCAGAATAGTGGGAGCTGTGGCTCATGGCCACAACTGACTGACGGCGTAGACTGTGAGTCACTGGGCCCACTCAGCATGCCACAGGTTCCATGGCAGGGTGCCAGGCAGACTCCCTCCAAGTCATACTGTGTCCTGGCCACAATGAAGGCTCCAGTTGGAAAAATCAGTAAACATTTTTTAAGCACCTACTAAGTGCTGGGTACTGTGCTGTCATTTGCACATTAAGAGGAGGAGAATCAATGTCCTCTGGGGTCACCCCTTCCAAACAGAAAAGCACCACCACAGGAATAGAGGCCAAAGGAAAGGAGCAGGACTAGGCAGCATCCTCTAAAAGGATTCTGGAAACCCAGAAGCCCTTGGGGTAGAACTGACTCTCCCTAGGTTTCATTTTACACATTAGTACCAGTCCCTCCCACGGAACACACTAGGATCTTGACTGTTCTATTACTATATGACTTTTTAAATAAGAATAAGCAGAAAGAAATCCAACTATGACATATATTTAGGCAAGCAAATATAAAAATACAAAAGATATAATTTACTTGGGGGTAGGAGTTTAATCGTATTAAATGTTCCTTAACATCTTGACTACCATTGCACAGATGGGATCTGTCACTGAGATAAAGATTTACTGAAAACAGGGGTAGCATTAAGCTAACCATCCTTCACGTCGATGGTTCAACTGGCATCTCATTAGCAAGGTACAGACATGACAATGTTGATGGTTCCAGGACAGCTTTCTGAAATGCATGAATGATGGCTCTACTTGGGAACAAGGAGTTTGTGACCAAGAGGCCCCTGAAAGGAGATGGCCATGCCACCTTCCTTGAGAGTGTCTGCAAACACTGCCGACCTGCTGATGGGCAATTTGTTTCGTGTGACTTTGTTTCTCCATATGGATTCTGAAGTTCACATATTTCAGTGCAAATGAAAGCAGAAGACTATGGGAGCTGCTAGAAATGAACAAAACCAATGGCCCGAGGATCCCTCAAACAGAGGCCCTCTGGCCTTGCTGGGCCCTCAGCCTGCCACGGTTCCTTCTGTGGTGGGGCCTGCTTCCAAAGCCCCAAGGGCCTCCACACCACAGTGCCGCATGGCATCGAAGGAGGAGTGTGGAGTAGAGGAACCAAAAACCAAAGTGGTTCGTTTTCCACTTCTGTCTTGTTGGTGAACTGACTGTTCTCCAGGCCTGAATGGAGCTTTTCTCGACAGTTTCATCTCTCAATCTGCTGACACGACATTTTCACGGACAGTTTTAGGTCACGGAATCATGGGATCCAGAGCTTATTCAAGGGCCAAAAGGAGTTTCTCCCCCACTGGTGATCCGTCAGTAAAAGGGGACGAGACTTGGCCAGGTACACTCACTGCTGATGCTTCTCTACCAACAGCTTTAACAAGAAGCGAAACCTTCTACTTGTTTTTGTGGGGTCTGTGGAAAGATTTTTAAGCTTACACAAAAGTGTGTCATTGGCATTCTGTGTCCTGCCTCAGATTGAGCCATGGAGACTCCGGTCAGCATGGAATAGTTGGGTAAAACTGCCTCTGTTCCTTTTTTTAGTGGTAGGTGTTTTGGGGGATGGAGAAGAGGGACTCCGTGAAACTCATCCATCTCCGCCAATGAGGAAGGACAGCTGAGTGTGCTTTTCACTAGTAAGGGTATCAAATCAAATCTCATTTCAAGGAAAAGACTTGCTTTGATTTTTCCTCCTAGATTACTGAATAAAATGGAGCCAAAGCTACAATTCTATAAACTAAAACAAAAATGAAACATATTCTTAGCATCACCAGTCAAGAAAAATGATGGATAACTGTGCCCTTTCTGATATGAGGATGTGAAGAGCCACTGGGATTTGTATAAGTGGACAGGATAAGGACAAGTCTGAAAAGGGAGACATCTGCAAAATTCAGTGAACTAAGGCTGAAGAAGACTATTTTCCTCTCTCCACCTTTCCCATTATTTGGAAACAGGCCCTTTGGAGAATGACTGGTCATAACCACCATAATGAGCACAGGCTTATATATAGTCTATGCCTAAGGAAATCACTGGTGCTGCCCTGAGAACACCCAAAGTGACTTTGTTTCTCAAGATTTTCATTTGTCTTTTAACAAAGGCAGTAATGTTACCTTCACAGAAAGGGGGGGGGGACCCTCCCTCACAATGAAAAGTCAGAAGCCAAAGTAAATGCAGAGATGGGTAAGGGGCAGACCTCCTGCAAGATCAAAGAGCACAACGCCCTCCATGGAGTCACTGTGGCCACAGAGTCTCTGTCACGGCCAGCTGGGTACTTACAAGGTAAATTGGCTTCAAGCTCTGCAACCTCTGTAGAAAACAAAAAGACTCTGGTTAGTGCCAGTTAATTAATGCATTTTCAGACAGAATCTGTCCCAGATGGACAGAGGCTTCTAGAGTATTGAAAGAGCTCAGTACAAAGGAGCCTGATTTTCACTAAACTGGTGGAACATCTTAACTCCAGAGTTTTAAAAGAAGTGACCCTGAGACAAAGCAGGCAAGCGTGCTCTGTCTGAGGGCCTTTCCAGCATAATGCACAGCAGCTCTCCGACAACAATGCACCGCCCAGAGCAGATCCAACACTCCCACTGAAGTCGAGTCTCCTGGACCACTTGCGGGTTGCTCAGAAGCCACGAAAGAGACGTGGTACACTTTTTTCCAGAAGCTATGCAGATGAGTTTCTGCTGATATTTATATTTATTTCTCATCAGAATACTGATGAAGATAATAATGACTCACACTTATGCAGTGTCTTGGACACAGCTGCTAACAAAAATCGTTTGTCATCAACACCTGGCCAATCAATATTCCGAGTATCTTGTCCCAGGCTTTAGAGAGGGTCACGCTCAGAAGCAGGGGGACAATTCCTTATTTTCAGCCAGGGGAGCCTGCAGCCTCCCTGACACTGGTCACTCCTAGCGGCTCTCCTATGTTACACATGAGAGGGGTGGTTGATGCAGCAGTCTCTGTTGGTGCTGCCAAGAGGAGTGGAGAGAACTCAGACCCGGCCCGTGTACACCAGTAATGGAGAAGCAGGAAGTGGCCCTGGGGGAAGGGAGGGCAGAGCTCAGAGTTAAGGGAACTAGCAAAGGAGCCTTAGGAGAGGCCAGTCTTAACAAAAGGATCAGGAAAGAGCATTGTCCCACAAGCCAGAGAGGAGACAATCTAGATAAGGTGAGGGATCAACAGCCTGCAGGTCTTAGGGCACTGGAGCGCTGAGGAGAGGCCAGGCCAGGGAGTAGCATGAGCAGCAGGCAGAAAAGGGAAAGGGAAAACAGCTAGGTTTGCAGAGAGCAAAAATGTGCTTTGAGGCTTGCAGGGCAATTTGCAGTTTCCTGTAATGGAGTGGGAGGGATGGGAGTGTCATAAACCTTCCACTGGCTTCTTTTGTGGAAAATGAGGCACTGAAGGTCAGAGGGGAAATGACCTCAGATTTTCACAGCACCTCAAGCCAAGGGCCCAGTGCCCACAGCCACCATAAAGTCCCCTGTATAATCACATAGCTCTAACGGCCCTAGTGGTCAAGGATGGACCCTACTGCAGCTGGTGGTGCAGCAGATGGAGGGCTGGCCTGGAGTCAGAACTGACATTGCAAACCCTGCCTCAATCGCCTGCTACCTGTGTGACCCTGGGCAAGTTACTTCATTGCTGCCTGCCTCAGTTTCCTCATTTGTAAAATGGAGATATTAACAGCACCACCTTCACAGGGTTTCTGCAAGGACTGAATGAGATCATACTTGTAAAGTGCTTAGCACAGTGCCTGGCACACAGTAGGTCCTAGATGAATTCTTTTTTTCTTGTTCCTTCCCGCTATGGTTGTCATTCCCAATGATTATCTAGAATTTGTTCATTCGCCCTTTTAAACTTCCCAGCCAGAGTAATTCTCAGGGGCAACTGTGGGGTGGGGTGGGGCTGCGGTCTCATGCAAACAACCATAAGACATGTAAGGGTTACTGAATGAGTCTGGCTTATCTAAGTAGTCAGTCAGCAAACATTTATTCTGGGAATACTACATGTTTAGCATGGTGCAAACCGGATACTAAATGGGCCAGATCCCTCCAAGTTTCTATAACAATCCAACTTCATCAGCAGGGAATGAGGAGCCATCCCCTACAGCCTGGGTGTGCTTTATGGAGAAGTCAAGATGGCCCCGAAGCTAAGGTGGGACTGGACCAAAGAGATGCTGTAGGAAATCATCCTGAAAGCACTAAAGGATTGGCTGCTGTTACCATTTGGTTTTCATTTTTTTTTTCAATTAGCAAGCATTTATTTTCTCACTCTACTCCAATTTAAAAAAAGAAAAAGAAACCCTTGTAACAAATATCCATGGTCAAGCAAAACAAATTCCCACACTGGCCGTGTGCCACAATGGATGTCTTGCTTTGCATCATGAATTAAGGTATAGGTTTTTTTCATCAGATATTTAAAGGAGAAGATGCCAAAGAATGCAGAAAAAATCAATAAACATGAAGACCCCAAAAAAGTGATGGAGAGAACACTGCCGACCATCTGTAGGATAGAGAAAACAATAGCACCTACCTCTCAAGGCGCTTCGCCAAACACTAGTTATTATGACTCTTCTTCTCTAAGATTCCCTTCCACTGTATCTTGAATGTGGCTATGCATGTACTGTTGTCTCCCCACCAGGATGTCAGCTTCTAGAGGGCATGAGCTGCTTCACCTTTAGTTACAGGCCACATGTGGGGTGGGAGAGGTGATCGGGAACCCTGAGGTTCAGAGGGAAAGCCATGTTGAAGTGTGGGAGGGCAGGAGGGCTGGGCAGAGGCAAAGTCAAGTTTGGCCGACTCTGGGATTTAATGGGGGCAGCTCCTACACAAATTCACCCCCCACACCAATGCTGCCTTTGGCAGACATGTTGGAAACTACTGGCATCTGATAAAAGTAGATTGAATCAGCTATCTACAAGGAGAGAGCTTAAGAAAGGGGGCCTCTTGTTAATGGTGACTCACTTTTTTATCCTTCAATGAAAAGAATCTAAACTCACAGGATTTTTATTCTGTCTCTAAGATTATGCAGTAAATCAGACAAACATGCTTATAAATGAAGGTAAGAGAAATAACCTCAAGGAAATGAAAAGAGGTTGGCTAAATTAAGGAAGGGAAAAAGAAAAAGGGGAGAGAGGGAGCTGACCAGTTTTGAAAAAATGCTCAGGGGGCCCTGTAGGATTCATGCCAGAAAGGAACATTCCACCCAGTGGAAACTCTGGAATGTTCTACCAACCTCAGGCACAAACTAAAAGGAGACTGAGAATGCAGACAGTGCCTGACCAGGAAGCTTCAGAGATGTGCCAAGAAAATGCAAAGAGGTCAACCATCGGCAACTCCTATCAACTCCAAAAACCACAAGTCCAAAGAAGTTCACAACAAGTAGAATTGGGAGCAAGACAGTCCACCCATCGACAATTCTACTGTGACCACAGCAGAAGATGGTTCCGGGTCAAATCTGTCAAAGAAAGATCTGCTTCAAAGAGTGTTAAGCAAAGCTTATCACAGAAACTGGCAGCCAGCTGGTCTGGGTCCCACAGCATGCTGGGGGAGAGAGCAGTGGGAAGAAGCAAAGCAAAGACCCCATCCCCCAAGCCCCATTCAATATCTGGAAAACGTACCAGATTAAATCCTGATGGACAAATCCAGAAAAAGGTCACTGAGTCATTTCTCCAGCCCACGTGGCAAAGAGAGGTGGTCAAAGAGGTCAGTGGACATTGGGGATGGGGTCTAGCCAGAAACTGAGACTTGGGAAAGACCTTAGTTTAAAAAGGCCAAGGTCACTCGCTGCATCTGGGGCCATTGCCAGTCATCTTGACTTCTGTCTGCCACTGGACTCCAAAGACACTGGAGAAGAGTGCGGCTGATGACTGTGCAACTCTGGCTCACTTACATCCAATTCACATGCGAGTCAAGATATCGCCCTGGTGATGTCATCGGTCCTCTTCAAGAATGAAGGACCACCACCACCACCAAACCACGTGAAGTGCACCCCAGCCCAGGGGACCTGTGCACCTGGCCAAGACAAGGTCCCAGACCCACGCTGGGGGGCCCCATGATGGGAACACGTGCCAACTGGCAGTTGTCTCTCTATCTAGTTGTGGGTCACACAGATCCAGGGCAGACTGAGGAGGGCTCTTGTGCCCAAGGGTAGCATGCTGGGGTAAGAAGAGGTCACAGACTTCAGGTGGTGTGCAAAGAGAGAAACACATGCACAAGCCTGCACCAGCCAGAAGGCTTGGACCCCAGAAGTAGAGGGAGATCTCGATTCCAGCTTCTAACCTGGAAGGCTTCATTCTGATGCCTAAGAAGGAAAATCCAGGCCAGGAATCCCAAACCAAAGGGGAGCCTACACTGGTCTCACTTTGAACCAACAGAGCTTCCCATAAGGCTGAGAGAGGTTGAATCTAGCACTCTCTCCTCTTGCTCAGACCAGGGCGGCAGCAATCAGACTTTGTCCTAGATTAAGCCCCTCTGGGAGCTCTGAGAGGTCATAGGTCTCCAGCCAGAGCTGCCCCCAAGATCCTGGGATATCACAACACTCAATATTCTAAAAAAGCAACAACAGGAGCAGCCCAGACCTTCCCTCCCGAAATGCTGCAGAGCCGAGTCCCCACATCAAGCCCAAAGTCAGGAAGAATGAAGAAACAAAGAAGAATTCTACCCTAAAAAGCTATTATGGTGACCAAAAGGAAAACACCTACAAGAAAAGCCTTAGAGAAGCACATGCCAGGCACAAACTCCTGGAAGCAATCATGCAAGAGTTAAAAAAATGTTTTTATAAATTCAAGGAGACTACTGGAGGAAATACTGAGAAGAAATGAGAACTATGGAAGAAAGAGCTGGAAAAGGAATTCACATCTAAGCACAAGGGGTACAAAAATTTGCCTGAGCAACAAAATCTCTGAAAATCAGAATGAACCAAATAGAAGCCAATGACTCTAGAGGACAACAAGAAATATTAAGAAGTCAAAGGACTGAAAAAATAGAAGAAAATGGAGGCTATAGGAGCAAAAACAACTGGCTTGCAAAACAGATAGAAGAGAAAAAATCTGAGAATCACTTCACACCATGACCAAAAAGAGAGCCTAGACATTATATTTCAAGAGATCTTTAAAGAAAAACTGCTCACATCTCTTAGAATCAGAAGGAAAGTGGTAACAGAAAGAATCCATTGCTCACCTCCTAAAATCAAAAAAATGAAAACTCCCAGGAATATTACAGCCAAAATCTGGAGCTTTCAGATGAAAGAAAAAAATACTACAAGCATCAAGAAATTGAGAATTCAAGTACTGAGAAGCCACA